GGAAGCTTCCAAACGCCCACTAGCAAATGCACGCATATCAGTGACCATGATGGTGGTTATGCTATTGATCAGTTGTTTCCTAGAAGAGATAAAACTTGGATAAACAAAAGTGTCGAAATTGCGACAGGAATTATGAGACAACCCAATAGGAAACGCATGTTGTTCTATCTTATTCCATGAACCAATAATTTAGGGAATGGCAGTATTCTCCCGAGGCAGGTGCTGTTTCAATAGGTCGGTAGAAATATAAATCAACGAAGTTCTAGAAATGCCACGAAGAAAGTCCAAAGTGGCCCTGAAGTAGTCACTACTCAGACTACAGATCGCTTCCTCCCATTATCCTCCAGCCACTGCGAATCTGTCGATGAAGTTTCGAGAAGTTTCTAACTGTCGATGAAGCTTTGAAAACTTCCTAGTTGCTGGTGACGGTGACGCCCCTTCTGTTTGTACTCGAGCTTAATATGTCACTTCGATCCTTCTCCAGTGTATTAGCTCTTTTACTTCTCTTCTAGAACGTCTGGCATTCGTGCTGAAAATGTCGCCGTTCTCATTTCCACGAGTCCAGCAGTTGGGCGTGGCGTGGGCCTCATTCACGTTGATGCTGCTTCAGCTGATCGTTCTCGCTACCGCACAATTGTCAGACAACTGTGAGTTTCGGGAACTTCATTGCTGCTGAACCCATCCCTCACATTTTATACCATCACTTCTTTCACGCTTTCTTTTTTTTCTTCCCTTTTCACCAACTGTAGCCTTTTCAGCTGAACTGCCGGCTATTCCTAACCGTTCAACTGTCGCCCATGTCGATCTTAGCAAATTCGGCGCTAATGACGAACAGAAGCTGTTCCGGTAGGCGGAAATGCTTTAGCACTACAATCAGGTTAACCAGTACATCACGGCTTTTTGCAGATACCTTCTGCAGGACTACGACAAAGCTGTACGACCGGTTCTTTAACGCCTCCAAAATCGTCAAAGTGTACATCGGCCTAACTTTGACGCATATTTTCAATATTGTGAGTGCTGTGTTGATTTTTTCAGCGGCAGACTTTTTTCAAAGAGCTGGCGACTATTTTTCGGGTCGATGCGTTTTTAACTATCCGAAGCACTCAGAATATGCTGAAATTACTGCTGCTATCAGCGAATACTACTGTACTCGCATTTGACGTTTCCCCGCCTCCCCCCCCCCACTTTTCGCTGCCCATTCTGAATAAAAAAGTGAAAATATTTCCGAGAACTCATTCGAATTTGCTGCCGTGTGTTGGCACGAATGAGCAATATGGGTCTCGGAGAGGGCTGATTAAACGGGACAGTTGGAAACTTCATCACAGCTCTTTTAGTACGAAAATATAAAACTAGGTCTGGAATCGTTTCAAATGCGAATGGGCACTGAGCTTCTGACAATTACAAAGCGTCAGTCGAAGAAATATTGGATCCATTGTCCTTTGGACGCAGTTTTAACGGAAAGAAAAACACCAATATTGGCCTCTTCTGTACACAATTTGTGCTACTGAAAGGGTTCTGTCTAAAGCACAAAGCACGCTCAGGAGTTGCGCACAAATGTAATTCAGAGCAGCAGAAAAGGATAAAGAGGTTCAGATTGACGTATTATGTATATTATGAATCAGCCCTAGAGGATGGAGTCCTAGTCTGGCAGGAATGGATCGGTCCA